AGGAAATTTTAAACTGTCCACCGGTATTGGCAGTTTGTCAGTCATTTTTCTCTGTGTCCTGCAGAATGTCTGGCAAACTCTTCCATGAAGCAGGAACCCTGCAGGGTTTTTTGTCATGAAAAAACATAATAAACCATTTTAAATGCCATATTCTGTAGGTCTTTGAAAGGTCTGAATACTACCTATCCATCTCAAATATATCTCTCTAATCTAGAAAACCTAACTAATATAACTATAAGTTTTGACTATTATAGGTGACTATATATAATCTGTATTTAATTATACATTACATTTTTATTTTATTTTGGTTGTAAGCCTAGCCTTTAACAGCTGAGCCATCTCTCCAGCCCTATACATTACATTTTTAAATGAGCTGTATAAACACAATACCTAAACAAGAGGAGAAATATACATATAAGATTGACCTTAAATTTGTATCAATAAGCCAAAATCCATACCAATACAAAGTATTCATTTCTATATCATATTCCCTCTTTTTTCTTTAGAAAGAGATTGACTGTGTTCATTAACCATTATAACCAACCCCATTTAAATGAAAACAAACATTTATAAACGATATTTGGGAATTTAGACGTTGTTCTCTCCAAACCGCTTCCTACTATTTGGGGGTACTGTCAATACCATGGGGATCTCGAGAAAACCCAGAAACCTGGCCAAATCCTTGCTGTAGTAGTCTGCAAGGCTACATCATCCCAGCTGTCTTGGATGTTGGATCACCTAGGCCACTGCTTCACGGGATCTTAATTGATCAAATCCAATTAGTCTGGAAAGAATCCACAGCTTTTCATCTTCTGTGGAAACAAAACCAGAATCTCTTTTCCAAAGTAACATGTCCTTAGACTTAAATTTTAAACTCAAGGCATTTTAAAAATATATAAGTTGGGCTGGAGAGATGGCTCAGCAGTTAAGAGCACTGCCTGCTCTTTCAAAGGTGTATTTTCCATCTTTACGTGGCCTTTTTTAATTACTCTATTTTTTATTTATTTTTGTTTTTTGAGACAGTGTTTCTCTATGTATTTTTGCCTGTCCTGAAATTCACTCTGTAAACAAGGCTGGCCTTGAAATCACAGAGATCTGCTTGCCTCTGTCTCCCAAGTGCTGTAGAACACTGTATACATAATAAATAAATCTAATACATATATATATATATATATATATATATGTATTAGATTTATTTATTATGTATACAGTGTTCTACCTGCATACCAGAAGAGGGCACCAAATCTCATTACAGATGGTTGTGCGCCACCATGTGGTTGAACTCAGGACCTCTGGAAGAGCAGACAGTGCTCTTAACCTCTGAGCCATCTTTCCAGCCCCTAGGACTGTAACTTGTAAGCTGAAATAAACCCTTTCCTCCCAATGTTGTTTTTGGTCAGTGTCTTATCACAGCAACAGAAAGCAGACCAAGAGAGTTGAGCAATCCAGCACTCTCAGAGTACAAGATTAAAGGCGTGTGCCACTACACCCAGCTACTCTATTTCTTTTTTTTATTTTTAGATTTATTTATTTTATGTATGGGTGCTCTATCTCATTATAGATGGTTGTGAGCCACCACATGGTTGCTGGGAATTGAACTCAGGACCTCTGGAAAAGCATCCAGTGCTCTTAACTGCTGAGTTATCTCACCAGCCCTCTATTTCTTTTTTTTAAAGGACTTTGTCATTTTTCTTTTCTCTCCCAAGCCTATGTATATTTTTAAACACACTGTAAACCATTTAGAGGTTTTTCTCCTTTGAATCTGCCTTTATTGTATATCCCTATTTTCTATGAGTCTTTTATCTGCTAAACAGCATGGCTAAGATTAAAGCGGCAGCAGACTTTGTTCTATTCCTTGGATTTCTGAGAGTAGCTTCATGGCAGAGTTTCTAGGTTCATACCACCACCAAGAAACATGGGTGGCTTGCTTGTTAATACCACCATTATTTGGTAGCAGAGCTTCTTAAAGGAGCCCTGCGCTTTTTGCTGCTAATGCTGAGTCAGGAAACTTCCCTTAAAGGAGCCGAATTTCTCTGCTTGTCTCTAACAAACAGAGCCCACCCAAGAAAATGCTGCTACCAAGACGCCGTGCTTGCCTCTGTTCTTTTGTTTTTAGAATCCCCTCTTTTTTAAAGTTTTTGCCAGGTTTTACATGGAAATTCTTGCAACCCACATCTAGTTGTCATTTTGTAGACAAAAGTTTTCCATCCCCCATCACTCTCCACAGACTAACAAACCAATACAGGGCTAGGTTGCCCATCAGTTTTGCCCCTAGGGACTCCTGTGTGGCACAGTCCAGCTACATCTGTGTTCAGGAGACAGTGAGGCCTTTCTGCCTGGCTCCCTCCCCTCTCACTTGCTCCTACTACTTTAGCAGCTTGTGAACCAGGGTTTATGCTCAGGTCCAAGCCATTTAAGTGAGCCTAAGCCTCTTCTGTTTTGTATAGGTCCCTACCCACTATGAGGCTCTCTACTGCAACCAATGCTCCATACCATTCTCACAGTCCTTGCTGAATCCGTTTCTTTCTTAGGTCTCCCATGAAATGAAGTCTTGTCAGAGCCTATGAATTGGGCATACATCACCACTTCCCACATGCCTGATTCTCTTAGTAGGGCAAAGCCTTCCACTATTTTCCAGTCCCTGATATTCAGGGAGACCTTAGCTACAGATAGATGACCAGATGTCCCTAGTGGCTCCTATGAGCCAGTCCACCAGGGACTGATCCCCTCACATTGCCCTATATTGTGAAGCTTTTGTCTCAATAAGGGATGGGTGGTCACCTTGCTCAGCTTCTGCTTCAGCAGCACTCAGGCTGATCTGTCTGCCCCATGTCCCACAGCCCCACAAGCCTTCATTGCTCGTTTGGAAGTCTTCCCTAGATCCCACAGATCTGTCACGTGTGGAATATTATTTTAACTAGGCAAAGATGTGTTGCATTTGTTTGTGCTGCAGAATATTCCTTTAACTACGTAAAGATGTGTTACTTTTGTCTATGCTGCATTTGCCTAATTATGAAAAGATGCATTTGTTTTTACCTTGCCTGCCTAAGAACCCTGAGTGGTCTAATAAAAAGCTGAATAGCCAATAGAAGAACAGGAAGGAGAGGACAAGGGACATGCCTGGGGCCAGAAGCTAGGCAGCCATAGAGACAGCAAGAAAGTAAGAAAAGGTAAAAATCCTGGAGACAAAAGGGGCTTTATATAAAGAGAAACAGGTTAATTTAAGTTAAGAGAGATAGCCAGAAATGTGCCTAAGCTAGGCCAAGAATTCAAAACTAGTCTAGTAAGCGTCTATGTCAAGATTTTGGAGCTGGTTGGTAGCCCAAAAGAAAAAGCCTGATACAGTCATTCACTATTCTGATTACCTTAGTCTTCCACATCTGACCATTGTTAAGGCTTCTGCACACTGGAGCACAGATTTTTCCTTTCCAAATATTGAAGGTTGGACCCAAGGAATGTCTTCTATCACTGTTAGGTTGCTCCCTCCCCACTGGTTCCAGGTTCCAGGGTTCCAAGAGAGGCACTGTATTACTGGTTTAATATGGGCCTCTTCCCTCTGAGCCCCTAACTATAAACACAACGGACCAACATTACCCTTCTCTTTCATCTAATGTATCTGATAAGTATCTGACCAGCACTGCAGGGCCAGCCTCTTATCCCTCTCTCCCTCCAGGCTGCCACCTCAGCTTTGAGTAGATCTATGGCAGAGGCCAGGCTTCCTCTGCAGCTTCTTCTGATATCTCTGTCCTTCATGGGCTTGTAATTCCTGTTCTCAAACCATCTCCACACTCCCTAGGTGAACCCACCATCAAGCAGGTATGTCATTCCATACCATCTAGAAGACTACCCTTCCGAGATTTTCCCCACAGACACTCTCCATCACTTAGACAGTTTCACCTTAAATATCTCAATCTCCACCTTATTGCCACTATCCTGCAAACCCTATATGGATATCCACTATGTCAAAATTTCCTCTGTAAACAACCTCTCCCCTCCTCCATATAACTTCACTTTTTTAGTTTGTCTCATTCTCCATACTATGGACAACACGATTGCTCTTCTAAAACTCATACTTGTGCTGCTAAAATTCCTTCCCAGGGAGGAGAGGTAAACATCTCCTTCTTTGAGGGTCCCAAGGATAAACTGAAACACAATTCCACCACAGTTCACTCCGGGGAGTCAATTTATTGGGCCTCCTTACAGAGCATAAGTGACTGGGTTATTTATTGGAATGTGGGCGCTTTCTCCACTCCAAACAGTTGTACTAGAAAGTCTTTACCTAGCAGGGAAAATGGCTTTCTCAAAGTCACATAGATGGAGTCCTCCCTGCCCCTCTCCCAGTCCTCCCAGGCCTATATACTCTAGCCCCTTCCTAGTCCATTTTCTCATGGACACTGCCTCTCATCCAGGGGGTTCAGGTAGGAGCTGCAGTCCTATCTAGCCACTCCCCACGTTCCTTTCTGGGCTCTTTGTCTTCTTCCTGTCTGGTAGAGTATGCTCTGCTGGCTAGCGGAGGTTCCAGATAAACTCCTGGGACCACTCCCACCCAAGCTGAGTAGGCGACTGCATTCCTGTTTCCTCCTCCTGGGTCCCCCTGCTGGAGAGGCCTAGGATGCTGATGTTGGTGTAAATTGGCATTGGGGCTCTCAGCTCTGCAGAGTGAAGGTGAGAGGAGAGCTGAGGAGCCAGAAGTTGGTGGGGCTGTGTGTGTCTTTGTGAGAAGCATACTCGCATAATGTGTGATACTGCAGTCGGCAGAACATAAAGCCTTCCATGGAATGATTGAAGCTCAGGCATTGTTCTCTCTCTCTCTCTCTCTCTCTCTCTCTCTCTCTCTCTCTCTCGTGAGTGTATGTGTGCGCGCTTGTGTGTTCTCTCCTCTCTCTCCCTCTCCCTCTCCCTCTCCCTCTCTCTCTCCCTCCTCTCTCTCTCCTTCTCTCTCCCTCCTCTCTCTCCCTCTCCTTCTTACTCCCTCCTGCTCCCTCTCTGTCTCTCCTCTCTCTCATTCTCTGCTTCCTTCTTTCCCCCTCCTCTGCTCCCTTTCTCCTTACCCTCCTCCTCCCCCATCCCCTCCCCACCTGAAAGGAGGAAAATGTATTGAGTCTTCACTGGGTAAGTTCTCTGACCTTAGAAGTTTTTCTTGGGGTGTAAGGGCTGCTGGAGGGGGTGGTGTCTGACTGGGAGATGACTCCTACGGAGGTATCTGCAGAACAGGTATAGCAGTCCTTGGAGACAAGACGTCAGGAATGGACCTCTGCAGCTCTAGCTCCCACATCTGGAAGCACCCTCTGAGGTCTCTGGATTCAGCCCTGGTTACCAGCTTCCTGCTGACTGCAGAGAAAGAGAGATGCTGGGGTTGAAGCAGCTGCTAGATCCTGCAGATCTTGTGGTCCTCTGCTCCAGATAACAGGAAAGGGCTGGTTTTCAGTTTCCCAGCCATGTGGATATGCCTGTAAGGGCAGACATGTCTTGTATGTTTCCCTGTGAGCATGTGAGAGTGAACAATATATATGCCTGGACTGTGGAAAGTCAGCCTGTGTGTGTGTGTGTGTGTCCTGTAATATGGGCACAGGGCATGCATGTCAGGGCTGAATGTCAGGTATGTACACAGAATGTGTATGGCACACATGTGTAAGGTTTGTAATGCCTGTGTGGGCAGTCATTGTGGGTCAGGTACAATTTTTGGTTTGTATTTTTGTGTGTGCATGTGTATACCTGGATGTATGCTCAGCACAGGTGCATTACATGTGTGTAGGCACAGGAGCATTGTGTGTGCATGTGTGCTGTGTGGGTACAGACATGTGCTCTATGCTACTTGTGTATAGCTATGTGTGACGTGTGGCCTGTGTACAGCTGTCTGTTGTGTGTGGGTAGCATCTGTGGAGGCACAGCTTCTTCATGAGCCCTGCTTTGTTCTGATGCTCTGCTCCCTGTCCTGGGGGCTGTAGTACTGCTGTGTGGCTGTGCATCAGGTTGAGCAGAAGTGGATAAGCACCTGGCCCTGGGTGAGTTGATCTGTTGCCTGCTCCAGGTCATTTTAGGGTTTATTTTAGGCATGCTGAGCTTAGCATTTGTCTATATGCCAAACACACTGAAAGGGAGCAAGCGCTGATGTGTGTGGGTGAGTATAGTGTGCGATGTATGTATGTGTGTATCTGTTGAGTGTGCTGTATATTGTATACTGTGTGTGTATGATGTGTTGCATATTATAAGGTGTATGTTTGTGTCTGTTGTATCTTGTCTTCTATTTGTGTGTAGTGTGGTATTTGCCTGGATTTTGCACTGTGTGTCACATGTGGCATGTATGTGGATGTGTTCTCCGAGCTGAACCACATTTTGTTCTTGGGTTGGTGCCTGCCCTATGTGGATCCCAGCACAACCCCTTTGTGGTCATCCCCAGGGAGCTGGTACTCCATGATTCTCAGAACTCATACCACTTCCTCCACTTGGCCCTCTATGCCCTCAGCCTCAGACACTTGATATCTGCAGGTAAATAGAGGCTCAAGGGCTGCTCCTGCTGCTCCCGGCTTCAGGCTCGGCAGCGGAGCCCTCCCACACTCAGCCATAGGCTGGGACCCCATCATGCATTTTGGAACATTATAGAACTGCAGCAGCAGCAGCTGTGTCCCAAGACAATTCTCCACATGGTGGCAGAACCATCCATCTCCCCATGCTGATGGCTGCTGTATTTCCGCCTCCAGCCCTGACTCTGGAGCTTCCTCGATGCTTCCCCATTCTGCACCGCAGTGGAGGGCCCTCAGTTTCTTAAATCCCAGCCTCTCCAATATGCATCCACCTGACCCCTACATCGACTCCTCTCTTGGTTTTCCCACCTGAGCCCTGTGGAGCATCTCCACACTCCCTAGAGTCTGCCCTGATGCTATCCAATGCCCTGTCATGCTATCTCCTGAGAGAGACCCTGATTTGTCCTTATCCCTGCTACTGCCTGGATGCTCGAGCCCTGATCCCTCTCATCTGACTATCAAACTGGCCTGCTCGTCTCTGCCTGTGCCTCTACTGACTTTGCTGGGATCTGTGGGTCCCCGGAAACCCTTTTAAAGCTGCATATCAGCTGCTTTAAAACCCTTGGCAACTACTGCAAACCAACCAACCAACCAACCAACCCTGGTCCTGTGAGACTCACGGGGCTGTAACGGACCTTTTCCCTGCTTCCTCACTCAGCAGTAGTCACCTAGTATCTATCCCATAGCCATAATGCAACACATCCAACACTCTTCCCCTGAAAGAAGCTGCTGTTACCACCCACTAGACTGGTGGGGAAACCTAGACTTAGAGTTCCACACTGTTTTTAAAAGGGCTGGAAAAATGGCTCAGTAGTTAAGAGCACTGGCTGCTTTTCCAGAGGACCAGAGTTCAATTTCAAGTACCCATATGACAGCTTAAAATTGTAACTCCAGTCCAGGGGATCTAATGCCCTCTTTCAGCTTCCACAGGTATTAAGTACAGGGTCATACATTCAGTGAAAACACCCATGCACATAAAAAATAAAAAGGAAAAAATGAAAAAATGAAAAAAAAGAACAGACACAGATCACTTGTCAAGGTCAAGGCTGGGGACATTTTAGGCTTCACTGTTTCTACGCTCCTAACATCCCTGAGAAGCAGGTGTCTGTCCTTCCTATCCATGGGTGGGTGTGCTGAGGCTTAGGAATGCTGCAGACTCAGCAGCCAAATCCTCATTTTTCTCAGCAGAGGGCTTGACAGCACATAAGGTCCCCTCCAACTTCCATGGTGGGCTGTTTCCTGCATCCACACAGGAGAGGAAGCCTCGTGGTGGTACCACTCACTGTTATTGGTGGAATGGCAGAATGCCATGCACACTCCATGACCTGCCCCAGTGCAGTATACATGCTACACAGCACCAGGTCTCTGAATGCAGTGTCCTGGGCTGGCAGCTCTAGGATCCACAGCCAATATGTAGTCCAGCCCAACCCATGGCTGCCTCTCAGACCTTCCTCTTCCTACCCCTCCAGGCCTGCAGGGCATCACAGAAAACGCCAGCAAGATGGACAGCCCCATCAATGTCTCACTGGTTCATGGGGATTCCACACTGGGTCTACCAGAGTACAAGGTGGTCTCAGTCTTCCTAGTGCTCCTGGTGTGCACTATGGGCATCGTGGGCAATGCCATGGTGGTCCTGGTGGTGCTGACCTCACGAGACATGCACACGCCCACCAACTGCTACCTGGTCAGCTTAGCTCTAGCTGACCTAATTGTGCTGGTGGCTGCCGGGCTGCCCAATGTCTCTGATAGCCTGGTGGGGCACTGGATCTATGGACATGCTGGCTGCTTGGGTATCACCTACTTCCAGTATCTAGGCATCAATGTCTCCTCCTGCTCCATCCTGGCATTTACTGTGGAGAGGTAAGTACCCACAGGCTACCCCATGCCTTCACCCTTCCCATTGTCTTCCTGGGTTCAAGCAGGGACTCCTAGTAAATTAAGGCTCCATTGAACAGAAGGGGAGCTAAGCCAATGTGGGGTGCTAGAAGAACCAGCACAAATGTGGGCATCTGCTCTGCTTCTAGATTACTGTAGGGCACCAGGAAAAGTCTCTGACTTCTTCTGAGTCTGGATTCCCCATCCAGAACACAGGCACTTGGAAGGTCTTTCTCACCACCCCCCACTACTGGGCGTTGAACCCTGGGTCTTCCACCCACTAGGCAAACCATATCTTCAATCTTTAAAAAAAAAGTTAAAGTTGAGACAGACTTGTTAAGGTTCACTATAAACTTGTGATCCTCCTGTCTCAGCCTCTCAAGAAACTGAAATAATAAGCCTGTGCTACTGTGTTCAGCAATGGTGTGTCTTTTTTTTTTTTTTTCTCGAGACAGGGTTTTTCTCTGTGGCTTTGGAGGCTGTCCTGGAACAAGCTCTTGGAGACCAGGCTGGTCTCGAACTCACAGAGATCCGCCTGCCTCTTGCCTCCCGAGGGCATGCGCCACCAACGCCCGGCTCATGGTGTGTCTTTTGAGTCTTCTCCAGCTTGACTTTTTTATTTGCTTGCTTGCTTGCTTGTTTGTTCATTTAATAAGACAGTGTTACACTACGAATACATACTTGGAATAGGTACTTGAACTCTCTTTGTAGCTGAGGTGGACTCAAACTCATTGCAATCCTACTGCTTCAGCCTCCTGAGTCCTGGAATTTCAAATGTGCACCACCATGTCTGGCTTATCTCTGCTTGTAACACCCCAGAGACATGCTAATCCAAAGCCTGAATTTGGCATCAAACTCAGCTGCACCCATGTCAGGAGTTGAGGTTTTGGGCTCAGTAACTTGTTAGGGATACCCAGAATCTGGACAGACCCCAGGTCTGTCATATCCAAACACTGGGTCTACTTCTACAATCCCCATATATGCTTGTCTGGGGGTAAGTCAGCATGGGGATGTGTCATCTACACCATGCAATAGTCCTCAAGGGCCTAAGTATGAACAATAAGGAGGTCTGCCTGTGAGAGCTGTATGGTATAACTCCTGCCTTTGAAGGAGGGTAACAGAAAATGCTTTGACAGCATGTGGTGGTCAAAGGCATCTTTGAGAGGATTGGAATCACAGGACAGTACATTTCCAGGCTACTTTCTGTTCCTCTTGGAAGGCTGACTTTGTTCTGCCTGTCCTTGGATTGTCTTCACCTTAAACCTTTGCAGCCTTCTACTTCCACCCTTGCAAAGTACGGCTCAGCCACCATTACTCAGACAGGGCTCAGCCTGGGTCAGGTGCCTCAGATGTAAGAGAAGCAGTCCCATGGCCTCAGGAACCAATATGCCTTGCCTGTGCTCCTCAGGTATATCGCCATTTGCCACCCAATGAAAGCACAGACTGTGTGCACCGTAGCCCGGGCCAAACGGATCATCGCAGGCATTTGGGTGGTCACATCCCTCTATTGCCTACTCTGGTTCTTCTTGGTGGACCTCAACGTCCATGACGATCAGCGCCTGGAATGTGGCTACAAGGTGTCCAGAGGCCTCTACCTGCCCATCTACCTGCTGGACTTTGCTATCTTCTTCATCGCCCCCTTGGTGGTGACCATGGTGCTCTATGGGTTCATTGGGAGGATCTTATTTCAGAGCCCATTGTCCCAGGAGGCCCGGCAAAAGGCAAGACAACCCGAAGGGCAGGGCAAGGGTGCACCAGGCAGCTGCTCTAGGTCCAAGAGCTCCATGTCCTCCCGGAAGCAGGTTAGGAGTCGTCCTGGGTGCAGGTGGGGGTTGCATGTGGGGAGAGGCAAAGATAAACAAAAGAACATAAAACACACAGGGCATGACTGGCAAAGCAGGTAAATGGAGCAGTCACTTGATCTTTCATTTGTCAGTCCATCCATCTATACATACATACATACATACATACATACATACATACATATCTATGCAGTGCCTGCCAAGCTTTGCATATGCTGGGTGGGTGCTAGGACACAGGGAAAACATGGAAACTCAGTCAGATGCCCTCTTTGAACTACAACAGTGGAACAAGTAAACACAAGCCTGTCCAAAGACAGGAAGGAGGGAAACATAGGAACAAATGATGCTGTGGAGCAGGAGTTCAGGGGGTTGTTCAGGAGGCCTTGCTAAGAGGTGACAAATGAACCGATGTTGGCAAGCTGAGCAGAGAAGGGACTTTGAAAGTATAAGATGGGATCATTCAGGAATGAGGAGAGAAAGAGGAATGAGTGGCTGAAAACGAGGTTCGGGTGCCCAAAGTCACAGTGGGGGACCCTACCTGGGGCCAGGAATTTTATAACGGACGTGTCCTTAGAAGTCCAGCATCTTGGGGAGCTTAGGGTGGTGGCTGTCTTGATCCTGTCTGAGTTCCAGTTCTGAGAGATACCCCAAGTTGCTGGTCTTGGCTCCCAGTGTAAGTGACATCCCTATTGTCAGTTTCTCCCCATGCTTGGTGAGTGTGTCTCACAGCCATGCCCTCCTGCCTTTCCTCTCCACAGGCCACCAGGATGCTGGCAGTGGTCGTATTCCTTTTTGCAGTGCTGTGGACTCCCTACCGCACACTGGTGTTGCTCAACTCTTTCTTGGCCCAGCCTTTCCTGGACCCCTGGGTCCTGCTGTTTTGCCGCACCTGTGTCTATACCAACAGTGCCATCAACCCTGTCATCTACAGCCTTATGTCCCAGAAGTTCCGGGCAGCCTTCCTGAAGTTGTGCTGGTGCAAGGCAGCCGGGCCACAGAGGCGTACAGCATGCATCACTGCCAGCAGCTACAGTGCTGTCCAGGAGACCCCGCTAGGAACTGAGAAGATGCAGCTGGGCTCTAATGAGGCCTCAGGTCCCTCAGCAGCTGGGTCCCTGCATTGCCAGCAAGAGCCCCATTTCAGCGTGCTGTGAGGACTCCTGCCTGGCCTGTGACTCCTCTCTCTGTGTTGGCTTGCTTGCTGGTCTGGTTGATAGCTGCTCTGAGCCCTGGTGGATCGCCAGGAGAGGGACAGACAGCTCACTGCTTATGAGTCATCAGAGGTCCCTTTACCATGAAGGATGTCACTGGAATGTTCTCAGCTGGATCCTGTGTAGGTAGCTCTCCACTCTGAAGTGAGGCTGGTGGGAACAGGGAGGGAGCCGAAGGTCCAGTCTTCACCCCCTGTATGACCAAAACTTTTCATCTGTTTTCACTCAGTACTTGAAGCATCTTTTGGAGCTTATTATTGAAGGAATGTCCTTCCAGGCTTTGATCACTTCTGTCCCTTGGTGAACCCATGTGCACAGGTTTTTACATATGGTCATTGGATAGTGAAGGTTACACAGAATGGGTGTCCCAGACAGTTGCACTGGCACCCAGGGCTGTTACATGGTGTTCATCACTGGCCCCAGCTCCTCTTCCAGTCTTCCATTACGGTGGGCAGCCCTGAAAGAGAACCCACCAAACAAGCTCACCCATCACAGATGTTCTTGAAGGATAACATCTGTCTTCCCAACCAGCACTGAGAAACCACCTCTACCTCCTTAGCCCCAGAAGTGCAAGCCTGGCTCTGTGGACCTACTCTGCCAGTTGCTGTCCTGCATGCCATGTCTCAAGAGATGTCAGAAAAAGCTGACAGCCAGCCCCATCACTGCCTACAGCACTAGTGGCTGAGCCTGAGGACAGCAGGCCTCCATGTCCTACACTGTAAATGGGGTCAGTGACCCTAACTTGGTCCTGGGACCCCATAGCTGAGGGACACGGTTGCAAACATTTCAACAAGCCAAAGTGGCCACTCTGTGACTGGGGACCTCAGAAAGACAAGAATTGGGGGATGCACGTGTGTGTGTGTGTGTGTGTGTGTGTGTGTGTGTGTGTGTATGTGTGTGGTTGGACCAGGTGATTCATTCCACTCACATAGCTTCTGCCTTCCTTGCTGGATGTGGTCCTAATGACTCATCCTGCTCTGGGGACCTGGGGTACTCCAAAATAGATATGGCTTTTTAGGGCCTCTGATTGCTGAGTATGGTCTGGTGGGGCAGGACATTTAGAGCCTCAGGGAGATGAAGGGTCTTACTGGAGGAAAGCCAACACAAAGGTTGGGGGCCACCCAGGGCACCTGAGGCCTCCCCATGCTGTGGTCTCCAGCCTGAGAGGCACGTTCTCTGGAAGCCCACACACCAGGCTTGCCGCCCTGGGGCAGGACTTGCTCCACCTTCTTCCCGAGCAGGCTGTTCCTGCCATCCTTTGAGTCCCTTTACCCTGTGACTTAAGACCATGATGCTCTTCCTCGCCGCACCCATGTGACATGCAGGTGTCCCCTGGATGATGTGGTCAGACAGACCTGATCCCTAGCTCTGCCTTGTCTCCTGCACCGTTATCTGAGATCATAGCTTATGTCTACTGCAAAGTAGTCAAGTGTGGGGACAAACATGGAGGGATGACAGGACAGATCCAGCCATGGTCTCCCATGCTGCCCGGTCTGCCTGTGTGAGCTGCAAGCACCGCACAGTCCAGGTGTGTGTGTGTGACCTCTCTCTTTGACTATGGCCTGGACAAAATCTGACATCAGACACACCAAATGTTTCCTGTCCTATCTCATCTTTCCTAGTTAACTGCTCCCTTGAAGTGCATGCAGCATCGCCACCAGCCTGGCTGCATGGCATCTGTGGCAGGTATGGAGCAGCCATCGCCTCACATCATTACAGCTCACACTGGCCTGCACTTTAGTTAAGCTAATCCATGATGCTGACAGCAGGCGATGGAACCACAGGTGTGGCTGATGCCTGCGGACTCAACTCTATACACTGTCCTTACCCCCATGCCTCCCAATAACACCTGAGCACTGCCTCTGGCCCTTCCTGAAAACCTCTCTCCCCTAATGTCACAGCAAGAGTTGGGTCCTTAGTTCTTGTACCACCTCAGGGAAGAATTCAAGCAGCTCATGAATAGTGGCAGAAGCTAAACCGAGCTGCATCCCCAGGCCCAGTGAAATTTCACCAAAAGAATGGAAAGCAGTCAAGACAGGAGTCATGAGGAGGGTGTTTCCATTGTCCTAACCTTTTCCCTCCTGACCCCAAGGCGGAGTTCTGAAATTTGAAAACCCTAAAAGCCATGTGACTTGCTGTACATTGCACATATCTCTGCGTGGAAGTAACCCGCAAAGTCCATTAGGGGTCAGAGTGGCAATGCCAATGACATAGAAAGCTGCACCTCCCAGGGGATGGGGTCTGTCTGGTTGAATCTAGTTCTTTCCTTGTTGTATGCATCAGAGGCAGTTGAAGCATCCTTACTCATGAAGCTGTAGGTATAAAATGCTACAATCCCAGAATCCTGAATTTTAACCGCTTGTCCACTCTTGTCTAGCTAATCATTGATGTCACTGCGATTACGTACTTAGTGTCACTGTGCATGGGGAAAGAACAGAGTACCCATCATCTCCAAGTATGGGCAGAGCCACTGGCCATCAGTCTGTAGATGCCTTGTGCTACAGTTAAAGGCATGTGTGCCACCACAGCCCAGCCCACAGGGCATACAGCTTCTCTTTTGTAGAGCATGAGATCAGTGGCCACTCCCACTCTTGGCTTGGAATGCTTTGTTTCGTAAAGTTGCTGGCTGATTGGTGAGTGCTGCCTAGGTATATGGTATTCTATTATACTGGGTTTTCTCTGTTGAGTAATGACCTTAGCTCTAGTATGGGATGAATCGGGCCAGCAGCCCCAGGATTGCCCAGTCTTGTAAAGAATGTAGATGTTCTGCCACTGTGGACTCCTGCCTGAGAAGCAGACTGCCCAGGATACATTGAACACCCTGGAGAATAAAAACCATGGAGCAGACCTCAAGGGTCCATCTGGCCCTGAAACAGAGTTTGCTTTATGCTCACAGTAAAAGTTCTGTCCTTCAGAGGCAGCTGAGAACCCACAAATGGAAAGATTGCAGAGAAGGACACCAGAGACATGAGCCTTCTTCAAGACTGCCTAACGACACACTGACATTTGTAAATGTATGCTTGCTCATGTGTAACATAAAGTCTTTTATATATACCGAGCTGTGCTTGTAACAAGCTTGGACAACCTGTCTTTGGCATGCTTTCCCTGGAGGCCAGGTGACCCTGGATGCCTGCTCCCAAATGTGGGCTCTGGAGCCTTCTCAGGTCACAACATAATACAGACACCTTGTCTCTCTCCCATGAGACCCAGTCAGGTACATCTGCTCAGTCACCAGTCACTCAGGGTCAGCCCTGAAAGATGCTGCTCTATTCTATGGCATGATGGCCTCCTCCCCTGAGGAGATTAGATGTTTGCTCAGGGTTTCCCACAGACGAGCAGATGCAGCCTGTGAGGAGGGTGGTCTAGAGGCACAGTAATTAGCCTTTAAGCACAGAGCCTGGCAGCCCTGTTTGTCACCCACAGTTCATCTTAAAGCAATCTAGGTAATTAGAAGGCCATCAGTGTGGGTATTATGGGATTTGTTAACCCTTCTCATTCCCCACAGCTGCTGGGAGCTGCACATGCCAGAAGACAAAGTATCTACTAATCTTTCTGTGAGTGTCCTATTAGGCCCTACAAGGGCAAGTTGGAGTTAAAAAAAATAAGGAAACAGTTTAATTCTTGGTGAGAGAGGGAAAGGGCTTCCATCTTCATAGTTATTTTACTCTAGACAACCTGACATGTTAGTCACTTCCTGTGCTGGGTTTCTTTTTGTTGCTGTTTTGTTTTTTACATTTTCAATATAGTATGTATATATGAGGTGGGGTTTGTGCTCATGACTGCAGTGCCTGCAGAGACCAGAAGAAGGTGTTGTATCTCCTGGAGCTGGAGTTACAATGGCTGTGTGTAGGGGAAGCTGTGAGCCACCCACTGTGGGTGCTGGGAGCTGAACTCAGGTCCTCTGCAGTAGTAGCAAGTGCTGTTACTGCTGAGTCATCTCTCCAGTCCTCTGTTCCTGTTTTGTAAGTTTTTATTAAGGTAGGGTCTTGCTATGTTGACCCAGGCTGACCTTGAACTCCGGATCCTCCTACCTACAGCTTACAAATTTAGGAGCTGCTCTTCGGAACCATTACCAAAAGCAAGGGTTCTGTCTCACAGTGTCTGGAACAGGGAGGGAAAGATGTTAAGGGCTGGAGTCAAGCACAGGAAATATACAAAGCTTAGGGCACCCAACCAGGTGGCCGCCTGTGATCTAGTTTCCTGTCTATGGGGGATGGGATCAGGAAGCCTTGTGGAACATTGTTGGGACAGTGCGGTGAAGATGAGAGCTAAAGGCGGCCAAGAAAGGATGCCCCAGGATGAAGCCCAGGGTAGAGGCTCACAGAGGAGAGTGCAGCAGCCCTGTACCAGCCACTGAGATCGAAAGCAGGTGGTGGTGTCTGGTTTGACTCCCCTAAGACCAACTGGAACGGAAGACAGAAACAGCTGCTGTTCTGGGAAGGGGGTGATTTGATTTGGGAGGAGGCAGGGAAGGAAGAAAAGTGAATAAAAGGTACAATATGGAGACACCTGACTTGGTCCCACTGGGGACCTTATGTACAGTTGTGAGGTTTGTCCTCTACATCCTCCCTCCCAAGGACAGACGGCATTTGCCATGACTCCCATCCTCATTGGTTGATGGCTGCCCTGGGTATCAAACCTCTCTTTTTGTGACCTCCATTCTGTTGCAGAGAAGAACCAAGTTCTTGGCACCCACACAGAGCAATGGGTTGGAGTGGGGTGAGGTAGGTGGTGGGGCACACAGAATCCACCACAGACATGGCGTCATTGAGGCCCTCAGAGTACAATCCTTGATCTTGAGTGCAAGAGATCAATGCACTCAAGAAATATGTGGAGCCGGGCATTGGTGGCGCACGCCTTTAATCCCAGCACTCGGGAGGCAGAGGCAGGTGGATCTCTGTGAGTTCGAGACCAGCCTGGTCTACAAGAGCTAGTTCCAGGACAGCCTCCAAAGCCACAGAGAAACCCTGTCTCGAAAAACCAAAAAAAAAAAAAATATGTGGACAAGACACCATGTTCAAAACAGAAACTGCCAGGTGGTGCCACTGTGATGGTGGCTGCTCAGGGAGTGAGGCACTTAATGGGTGTCCCCAAAGTTGCTTGTGAGTGATGTGGATACATGAGGAATAGAGGCTCAGCTCCCCTATATGGAGTATAGAAAGCTGAGCTCACACAGGTCAGGCTCACTACAGGAGACCCACTGCACTGAAGACTGCAGATCAAAGCTCCCATTTCTTTACTGGGAAACCCAGGCCCTAGGAAGGGAGGGAA